CTGTTGATCGGGTAGATTTGGTCAACCAAGTTGATTTCTGACAAGATCTGTCACTCCTGTAGGGGTCTTATTGTGCATAATGGTAATTGAGACATAGAAAGGAAAAGTGGAGAACTCTTTGAAGAACCCTTTTTGGTTCCAGGGAGAACCCTTTTGAGTTCCATGTAGAACCCTTTTCACAGAGGGTTCTACATGGAACCCAAAAGGGTTCTACATGGAACCCAAAAGGGTTCTTCCTGGAACCCAAAAGGGTTCTTCCTGGAACCAAAAAGGGTTATCCTATGGGAGCAGCCGAAGAACCCTTTTGGAACCCTTTCTTCTAAGATGGGTGGGTTGGCGTTGACCTTTTACCAAATTTGATTCAGTGGTTATTTTTGTCATTACTTCAGAACAATTGAATGTTGTGTACGTTGTAATAAAGTAAATAACTCTGCCTTTAATTTGATATTGAACATACAGAGGGAGTTCTAGCCCTTGATCATGACTCTCAGTTCCATTACATTACACATACAGTGGGGAGAACAAGTATTTGATACACTGCCGATTTTGCAGGTTTTCCTACTTACAAAGCATGTAGAGGTCTGTAATTTTTATCATAGGTACACTTCAACTGTGAGAGACGGAATCTAAAACAAAAATCCAGAAAATCACATTGTATGATTTTTAAGTAATTAATTTGCATTTTAATAAGTATTTGATCACCTACCAACCAGTAAGAATTCCGGCTCTCACAGACCTGTTCGTTTTTCTTTAAGAAGCCCTCCTGTTCTCCACTCATTACCTGTATTAACTGCACCTGTTTGAACTCGTTACCTGTATAAAATACACCTGTCCACACACTCAATCAAACAGACTCCAACCTCTCTACAATGACCAAGACCAGAGAGCTGTGTAAGGACATCAGGGATAAAATTGTAGACCTGCACAAGGCTGGGATGGGCTACAGGACAAAAGGCAAGCAGCTTGGTGAGAAGGCAACAACTGTTGGCGCAATTATTAGAAAATGGAAGAAGTTCAAGATGACGGTCAATCACCCTCAGTCTGGGGCTCCATGCAAGATCTCACCTCGTGGGGCATCAATGATCATGAGGAAGGTGAGGGATCAGCCCAGAACTACACGGCAGGACCTGGTCAATGACCTGAAGAGAGCTGGGACCACAGTCTCAAAGAAAACCATTAGTAACACACTACGCCGTCATGGATTAAAATCCTGCAGCGCACGCAAGGTCCCCCTGCTCAAGCCAGCGCATGTCCAGGCCCGTCTGAAGTTTGCCAATGACCATCTGGATGATCCAGAGGAGGAATGGGAGAAGGTCATGTGGTCTGATCAGACAAAAATAGAGCTTTTTGGTCTAAACTCCACTCGCCGTGTTTGGAGGAAGAAGAAGGATGAGTACAACCCCAAGAACACCATCCCAACCGTGAAGCATGGAGGTGGAAACATCATTCTTTGGGGATGCTTTTCTGCAAAGGAGACAGGACGACTGCACCGTATTGAGGGGAGGATGGATGGGGCCATGTATCGCGAGATCTTGGCCAACAACCTCCTTCCCTCAGTAAGAGCATTGAAGATGGGTCGTGGCTGGGTCTTCCAGCATGACAACGACCCGAAACACACAGCCAGGGCAACTAAGGAGTGGCTCCGTAAGAAGCATCTCAAGGTCCTGGAGTGGCCTAGCCAGTCTCCAGATCTGAACCCAATAGAAAATCTTTGGAGGGAGCTGAAAGTCCGTATTACCCAGCGACAGCCCCGAAACCTGATGGATCTGGAGAAGGTCTGTATGGAGGAGTGGGCCAAAATCCCTGCTGCAGTGTGTGCAAATCTGGTCAAGACCTACAGGAAACGTATGATCTCTGTAATTGCAAACAAAGGTTTCTGTACCAAATATTAAGTTCTGCTTTTCTGATGTATCAAATACTTATGTCATGCAATAAAATGCAAATTAATTACTTAAAAATCATACAATGTGATTTTCTGGATTTTTGTTTTAGATTCCGTCTCTCACAGTTGAAGTGTACCTATGATAAAAATTACAGACCTCTACATGCTTTGTAAGTAGGAAAACCTGTCAAATCGGCAGTGTATCAAATACTTGTTCTCCCCACTGTAACAGTCATTGGACGAAGGCGTCTTCTGTACGGGAGAGTTTCGTTAAGAGTGCTGACGCTCGGTCTGAACATTAGCATGCATCGCTTGAGGTAAGGTTTTGGAAGCATCAGGAAGTCGTTGTCCACAAAGCGCCACTGTGGGCTGACTAGCTCCTGGCTATCCTTTCTTTGGATTATTGGATACATTTATTTTATTTTTATTTAACATTTATTTAACTAGGCAAGTCAGTTAAGAACAAATTCTTATTTACAATGACAACTTACCAAAAGGCAAAAGGCCTCCTGTGGGGACGGGGGCTGGGATTAAAAATTAAATTAAAATGTAGGACAAAATATTATTATATTATATTATATATTATATATTATATTATTAAAACACACATCACGACAAGAGAGACACCACAACACTACATAAAGAGAGACCTAAGACAACAACATAGCATGGCAGCAGCACAACATGGTACAAACATGATTGGGCACAGACAACAGCACAAAGGTAGATACAACAATACGTCACGCGAAGCAGCCACAACTGTCAGTAAGAGAGTCCATGATTGAGTCTTTGAATGAAGAGATGGAGATAAAACTGTCCAGTTTGAGTGTTTTTTGCAGCTTGTTCCAGTCACTAGCTGCAGCGAACTGAAAAGAGGAGCGACCCAGGGATGTGTGTGCTTAGGGGACCTTTAACAGAATGTGACTGGCAGAACGGGTGTTGTATGTGGAGGATGAGGGCTGCAGTAGGTATCTCAGATGGGGGGAGTGAGGCCTAAGAGGGTTTTATAAATAAGCATCAACCAGTGGGTCTTGTGACGGGTATACAGAGATGACCAGTTTACAGAGGAGTATAGAGTGCAGTGGTGTGTCCTATAAGGAGCATTGGTGGCAAATCCGATGGCAGATGCCATCTCATTATTGTAATCATTTTTGAATATTCGATGAGGGTTGTACCTGTATTCAATGGAGAGAGACGTATGCGACTATCCTCATTTCATGAATATGCATAAACCATCTCGAGACCACTCCCATATCGACACACATTGATCTCCATACAAAAACTCCTTCCTTGCTTGGTGGGCGAAAAAACGCCACTTGATGGAGGGAGACAGACTTTCCGCCGAGTTGGGCCTCTCTTCCTCTGATATAACCGCCACCTGATGGAGGGAGACAGACTTTCCGCCGAGTTGGGCCTCTCTTCCTCTGATATAACCGCCACCTGATGGAGGGAGACAGACTTTCCGCCGAGTTGGGCCTCTCTTCCTCTGATATAACCGCCACCTGATGGAGGGAGACAGACTTTCCGCCGAGTTGGGCCTCTCTTCCTCTCTGATATAACCGCCACCTGATGGAGGGAGACAGACTTTCCGCCGAGTTGGGCCTCTCTTCCTCTGATATAACCGCCACCTGATGGAGGGAGACAGATTTTCCGCCGAGTTGGGCCTCTCTTCCTCTGATATAACCGCCACCTGATGGAGGGAGACAGACTTTCCGCCGAGTTGGGCCTCTCTTCCTCTGATATAACCGCCACCTGATGGAGGGAGACAGACTTTCCGCCGAGTTGGGCCTCTCTTCCTCTGATATAACCGCCACCTGATGGAGGGAGACAGACTTTCCGCCGAGTTGGGCCTCTCTTCCTCTGATATAACCGCCACCTGATGGAGGGAGACAGATTTTCCGCCGAGTTGGGCCTCTCTTCCTCTGATATAACCGCCACCTGATGGAGGGAGACAGACTTTCCGCCGAGTTGGGCCTCTCTTCCTCTGATATAACCGCCACCTGATGGAGGGAGACAGACTTTCCGCCGAGTTGGGCCTCTCTTCCTCTGATATAACCGCCACCTGATGGAGGGAGACAGATTTTTCCGCCGAGTTGGGCCTCTCTTCCTCTGATATAACCGCCACCTGATGGAGGGAGACAGACTTTCCGCCGAGTTGGGCCTCTCTTCCTCTGATATAACCGCCACCTGATGGAGGGAGACAGACTTTCCGCCGAGTTGGGCCTCTCTTCCTCTGATATAACCGCCACCTGATGGAGGGAGACAGACTTTCCGCCGAGTTGGGCCTCTCTTCCTCTGATATAACCGCCACCTGATGGAGGGAGACAGACTTTCCGCCGAGTTGGGCCTCTCTTCCTCTGATATAACCGCCACCTGATGGAGGGAGACAGACTTTCCGCCGAGTTGGGCCTCTCTTCCTCTGATATAACCGCCACCTGATGGAGGGAGACAGACTTTCCGCCGAGTTGGGCCTCTCTTCCTCTGATATAACCGCCACCTGATGGAGGGAGACAGACTTTCCGCCGAGTTGGGCCTCTCTTCCTCTGATATAACCGCCACCTGATGGAGGGAGACAGACTTTCCGCCGAGTTGGGCCTCTCTTCCTCTGATATAACCGCCACCTGATGGAGGGAGACAGACTTTCCGCCGAGTTGGGCCTCTCTTCCTCTGATCTAATGGATAATCTGTGGAAGCAGTTTGCTGACCACACAGCCCGCGGAATTGTGGGTAAACGCTTTGCAGCGGTCCACTAGATAGCACAGCTTCAAAGTTGACGATATCGTACAAATTAATGAACACAAAAATCTGCTTTTTTTTTGTCTTGATTTAAGGTTAGCAGTGTGGTTAACGCTGTGGTTAATGTTAGGTTTCAAATCACATTTTAAAGATGATAAAGTGTAGAAATAGGCGGGGTTGAAGACTTTGTGGCTGTGGTAACGACCCTTTGCAGCAGGAGGGATGCAGTTGATCCGCCATTTCAGCAGCTACGATGAGACCTACTTCCAGTAAACATTGAGGGGGGACCATCAATTTACCACATTTTTGCGTAGTTAGGTATAGGGCAACCGTGAGAGGAGGCAAAACGAGTCCTCTAAAGGTTTGCGGAAAGGGGCGGAAGATGGCGGTCGACAGACGAGACGAGAAAGGTACGAAGCGTTCGTCGCAGTAACGTTGGCTAGCTAGCAACTTGCTAACCATTGTCCCTATTCCTTTGTCAATTCAGCTAACACGCCATCGTTGATAATAGTCCAGTTACTCACAATTTACTTTCAGAATGGTTAATTTAAACTTGATCAAACTAATTTGGACACAGCCAGTTAGTTAACTCATTAGCTAGGTTAACGTTACCACGTCTTGCTAGTTAGTTACAGTAGCTAACGACATCGTCATAATTGTTGGCTACTCGCTAAGTTATCTAGCTAGGTAGCTAACTAGCTAGTAACGATTTCTAAAAGTACAGCCAAATTGATACCCTCTCTGGCCATCCATAGCTAGTTAACTATTCAGGTATTAGTTAGTCAACTAACGTTATCTACAGCGATGGTTAACAGCTAGTATCATGTCGCATTAGCTAGCTAACGAAATCAAGCAGAATTGTGCAACTGAACTCGAGTACCCGAGTGGTGCACCCCTTCCCTGGCTCTAGTAGGCAAATCAAACCCCTTTTCATGATTTCTGGTAGATCACCAAAAATAAATCACATCACGTTATTCGACTCATTCAGCAGTTTTGTAGTAGATTACTACAACCCAATTAAGTAGAATACTATTGGAAATGTGATGAAAGATTAATTTATATTAATATTCCGGCAGATGGCAATATTGAGTCGTTTTCATCTTACTATCCACACGCATTGTATGCAGCTGGCAATAAATAAATAAAAATGTTATTGGTCGCATACACATATTGAGCAGATGTTATTGCGTGTGTAGCGAAATTCTACTGTTATCCCCCGTGTACCGGTACGTACATTATCCATTCAGGCTGCAAAGGCGTCGAGTTCCTCCTTAACAATATTTTATGGCGAGAGGGCGTGCAAAAACTGGGAAAATGTGTGCTTTCTTTAAGAAACCATTTTCTACCGCAATGCTAAAATGGCTAATGCCTAGGAATGCTAGTCCCGGATGTGGCGTATCGCGTTCAACCAATCATGTTTCAGCAGTCTGTTAACCACTGGCAGAACGCAGGGTGCAACATCAGGAAGTAGCTTTAGTGGTGGAAACAGATGTTTCGCAAAGAAAGTAAGGATTTTCCACCATTAAATCTATACTGAACAAAAATATAAACGCAACATGGAACAATTTCAATGATTTTACTTAGTTACAGTTCATATAAGGAAATCAGTCAATTGAAATAAATTAATTAGGCCCTAATCTATGGATTTCACATGACTGGGCAGAGGCTCAGCCATGGATGGGCATGGGAGGGCAAAGGCCCATCCATTTGGGAGCTAGGTCCACCCACTGGTGAGCCAGGGTCGAGCCAATCGGAGTGAGTTTCCCCCCACAAAAGGGCTTATTACAGACAGAAATACTCCACAGTTTCATCAGCTGTCCGGGTAGCTGGACACTGATGATGAAGAAGCCGGATGTGGAGGTCCTGGGCTGTTGTGGTTAAACGTGGTTGTGAGGCCTGTTGGACTTACTGCCAAATTCTCTAAAACGACGTTGGAGGCGGCTTATGGTAGAGAAATGAACATTAAATTATCTGGCAACAGCTCTGGTGGAGATTCCTGCAGTCAGCATGCCAATTGCACGCTCCCTCAACATGAGACATCTGTGGCATTGTGTGAGAAAAAAACCCCATATTTTAGTGGCCTTTTATTGTCCCCAGCACAAGGTGCACCTGTGTCATGATCATGCCGTTTTTAATCAGAGAAATGCTCACTAACAGGGATCTAAACACATTTTTGCACAAAATGAGAGATATGCTTTTTGTGCATATGGTCATTTTCTGGGATCTTCTATTTCAGCTCATGAAACATGGGACCAACACTTTACATGTTGCGTTTAGTTTAGGAGGATATTGACTCCTTTGCACCTTTTGAATGGAGTATTGTTTTTATTTACGAATCGGTCCATGCTGCTGCGTACCAGATTAGCAAAAAAGAACACAAAGCAGACTAAACTCTATGGTCCTTTAAATCCTACTCGTTTAAAATATTGTGTGCTATAATTTGCAGTACAATATTGAGCGCTATAGCTTGAAAAATAAACATGTGACTGGGTGACAACGCAACGCAGTTTCTTCCCCAACATTAGGACTGTTTTAGGAATGTCTAAATGCTGTTTTGAAGTCTCTTAATCAATATGCAGAAACAGTTCATGATGTATTGAAAACATAAAATTGACTACCTACACATAGTGGATGTTAACGGTTGGGCACAGAAAATACATTTTGGGTAATTTGCATAATTGAGTGGAATTAAATTGGCACGTGTTTTCTGTTTTCGTTAGTCGTCGTGTATCACACTCACAGCAAACATGCTCTATTCGGGTCCTCAATCTAGGTTAACGCCTGTCAAGACACCTAAGTCCAATGTTTAAAAATATATATATACATTTCCGGAATGGAAAAATGCTTTAACTTAAATGACTAAAACCAGATATAAAGTATTTAGAAAAGATCATGGACCTACACTACATGATTAAAGGTATGTGGACACCTGATCGTCCAACATCTCATTCCAAAATCATGGGCATTAATATGGAGTTGGTCCCCCCTTTGCTGCTATAACAGCCTCCACTCTTCTGGGAAGGCTTTCCACTAGATGTTGGATCATTGCTGCAGGGACTTGCTTCCATTCAGCCACAAGAGCATTAGTGAGGTCGGGTACTGATGTTGGGCGATTAGGCCTTGGCTCGCAGTCGGCGTTCCATTTCATCCCAAAGGTGTTCGGTGGGGTTGAGGTCAGGGCTCTGTGCAGGCCAGTCAAGTTCTTCCACACCGATCTCGACAAACCATTTTTGTGTGGACCTCGCTTTGTGCACGGGGTCATTGCCATGCTGAAACAGGAAGGAGCCTTCCCCAAACTGTTGCCACATAGTTGGAAGAACAGAATCGTCTAGAATGTCATTTGTATGCTGTAGCGTTATTTCCCTTCACTGGAACTAAGGGGCCTAGCCCGAACCATGAAAAACAGCCCCAGAGCATTATCCGTCCTCCACAACTTTACAGTTGGCACTATGCATTCGGGCAGGTAGCGTTTTCCTGGCATCCGCCAAACCCCAGATTCGTCCGTCGGATTGCCAGATGGTGAAGCTGAGCCTCTGGTTGCTCCTAGATGTTTCCACACGATAACAGCACTTCCAGTTGACCGGGGAAGCTCTAGCAGGGCATAAATCTGTCGGACTGACTTATTGGAAAGGTGGCATCCTATGACGGCGCCACGTTGAAAGTCACTGAGCTCTTCGTAAAGGCCAACGTTTGTCTATGGAGATTGCATGGCTGTGTTTTTGATTTTATACACCCGTCAGCAACGGTTGTAGCTTAAATGGGCGAATCCACTAATTTGAAGGGGTGTCCACATACCTTTGTGTGTGTATATATATATACAGTGGGGAAAAAAAGTATTTAGTCAGCCACCAATTGTGCAAGTTCTCCCACTTAAAAAGATGAGAGAGGCCTGTAATTTTCATCATAGGTACATGTCAACTATGACAGACAAAATCAGAAAAAAAAATCCAGAAAATCACATTGTAGGATTTTTAATGAATTTATTTGCAAATTATGGTGGAAAATAAGTATTTGGTCAATAGCAAAAGTTTCTCAATACTTTGTTATATACCCTTTGTTGGCAATGACACAGGTCAAACGTTTTCTGTAAGTCTTCACAAGGTATTCACACACTGTTGCTGGTATTTTGGCCCATTCCTCCATGCAGATCTCCTCTAGAGCAGTGATGTTTTGGGGCTGTGGCTGGGCAACACTGACTTTCAACTCCCTCCAAAGATTTTCTATGGGGTTGAGATCTGGAGACTGGCTAGGCCACTCCAGGACCTTGAAATGCTTCTTACGAAGCCACTCCTTCGTTGCCCAGGCGGTGTGTTTGGGATCATTGTCATGCTGAAAGACCCAGCCACGTTTCATCTTCAATGCCCTTGCTGATGGAAGGAGGTTTTCACTCAAAATCTCACGATACATGGCCCCATTCATTATTTTCTTTACACGGATCAGTCGTCCTGGTCCCTTTGCAGAAAAACAGCCCCAAAGCATGATGTTTCCACCCCCATGCTTCACAGTAGGTATTGTGTTCTTTGGATGCAACTCAGCAATCTTTGTCCTCCAAACACGACGAGTTGAGTTTTTACCAAAAAGTTATATTTTGGTTTCATCTGACCATATGACATTCTCCCAATCCTCTTCTGGATCATCCAAATGCACTCTAGCAAACTTCAGACAGGCCTGGACATGTACTGGCTTAAGCAGGGGGACACGTCTAGCACTGCAGGATTTGAGTCCCTGGCGGCGTAGTGTGTTACTGATGGTAGGCTTTGTTACTTTGGTCCCAGCTCTCTGCAGGTCATTCACTAGGTCCCCCCGTGTGGTTCTGGGATTTTTGCTCACCGTTCTTGTGATCATTTTGACCCCACGGGGTGAGATCTTGCGTGGAGCCCCAGATCGAGGGAGATTATCAGTGGTCTTGTATGTCTTCCATTTCCTAATAATTGCTCCCACAGTTGATTTCTTCAAACCAAGCTGCTTACCTATTGCAGATTCAGTCTTCCCAGCCTGGTGCAGGTCTACAATTTTGTTTCTGGTGTCCTTTGACAGCTCTTTGGTCTTGGCCATAGTGGAGTTTGGAGTGTGACTGTTTGAGGTTGTGGACAGGTGTCTTTTATACTGATAACAAGTTCAAACAGTTGCCATTAATACAGGTAACGAGTTGAGGACAGAGGAGCCTCTTAAAGAAGAAGTTACAGGTCTGTGAGAGCCAGAAATCTTGCTTGTTTGTAGGTGACCAAATACTTATTTTCCACCATAATTTGCAAATAAATTCATTAAAAATCCTACAATGTGATTTTCTGGATTTTTTTTTCTCAATTTGTCTGTCATAGTTGTCGTGTACCTATGATGAATATTACAGGCCTCTCTCATCTTTTTAAGTGGGAGAACTTGCACAATTGGTGGCTGACTAAATACTTTTTTCCCCCACTGTATATATATATAGTGTATAAAGATTAGCTGGCTAATCACTAGCATGTGGGCTTGTCCTTTAGAGATAGTTTATGAGACCTGTGTTAATTTGCTGCTACAAGAAGTTAGTAATTTAGTGAATGTGCATTGTGCATGGTTCTGGGTAAATTTGTAACAAAAGGGGAATTTTCATAGAATGACTTGACAGCCTGTGATTATTGCAAAAAAAGGTTGAACTATTTTAATTAAATTATAAGTGGGTCTTATGGTTGTGGAAGGCTTATACTTAGCTTAAGTATAATATCACAAGCCCTGAATTCATTAGATTATTGGTGACTGTTTGGAATTAAGTGTATTTGACCTTTTTAATTGTACAACAAAGCTTATTTAGAGAGAACATAATTTTTTTTTTTTTTTTAACATGGAATCGTCTGAAAAATCAAGAGGATTTTTTTGGGGCCATATCGCCCTACAATTGGCTACATTTTCAAATGATACGTTTTGATATGGGGGTCGCCAAAACAAAGTAAGAAGCGCAACACTTATTTGTCAATCACTCATATCGATATCGTGTTGAAATCAATAGAACGAGTGGGGGGTTTCGGGCCGTCCTGTTCAAACTAACCGTACAAAAGAAAACATGGAATCCGCGAATAATTAGGTGGCTCGCGAAAGTATTCAACCCCTTTGGCATTTTTCCTATTTTGTTGCCTTACAACCTGGAATTTTTTTGGGGGTTTGTATCATTTGATTTCCACAACATGCCTACCACTTTGAAGATGGCAAATCTTTTTTGTGTGTGAAACAAACAAGAAATAAGACAACAGAACTTGCATAGCTATTCACCTTTTGCAGCAATTACAGCTGCAAGTCTCTTGGGGTATGTCTCTATAAGCTTGGCACATCTAGCCACTGGGATTTTTGCCCATTCTTCAAGGCAAAACTGCTCCAGCTCCTTCAAGTTGGATGGGTTCTGCTGGTGTACAGCAATCTTTAAGTCATACCTCAGATTCTCAATTGGAATTCCAAGAAATTTAAATGTATGTTTAGGGTCATTGTCCAGCTGGAAGGGGAACCTCCGTCCCAGTCTTAAATCTCTAGAAGATTGAAACAGGTTTCCCTCAAGAATTTCCCTGTATTTAGCGCCATCCATCATTCCTTCAATTCTGACCAGTCCCTTGCCGATGGAAAAACATCCCCACAGCATGATGCTGCCACCACCATGCTTCACTGTGGGGATGGTGTTCTCGGGGTGATGAGAGGTGTTGGATTTGCGCCAGACATAGCGTTTACCTTGATGGCCAAAAAGCTCAATTTTAGTCTCGTCAATGTAATCCATTTTAAAGTCAGGCTGTAACAGAACAAAACGTGGGAAAGGTAGAGGGGTATGAATACTTTCTGAAGGCGCTATACATGTAATCCGTTACACTCCAACCCTGCTTATGGCCACATCTATAACCAAAAGCACACAAAAAAAATTGGGGGGTAGTGATATTTAGAGAACACGATGCTACAAGTTGATTTCACATGCTGTGCATTTCGGGGAAGTATTCAGACCCCTTGACCTTTTCCACATTGTTACGTTACAGCCTTATTCTAAAATGGATTAAAGTACTTTTTTCCCTCATCAATCTACACACCACCCCATAATAACAAAGCGAAAACAGGCTTTTAGATATTTTTGCCAGGCAATTTATATAAAATAGATACATTATTTACATATGTATTCAGACCCTTTGCTATGAGACTCAATTGAGCTCCGGTGCATCCTGTTTCCATTGATCATTCTTCAGATGTTTCTACAACTTGATTGAAGTCAACCTGTGGTAAATTCAATTGATTGGACATGATTTGGAAAGGCACACACCTGTCTATATTAGGTCCCACAGTTGACAGTGCACGTCATAGCAAACCCAAGCCATGAGGTCGAAGGAATTGTCCGTAGAGCTCCGAGACAGGATTGTGTCGAGGCACAGATCTGGGGAAGGGTACCAAAACATTTCTGCAGCATTGAAGGTCGCCAAGAACACAGTGGCCTCCATCATTCTTAAATGGAAGAGGTTTGGAACCACCAAGACTCTTCCTAGAGCTGGCCGCCTGGCCAAACTGAGCAATCGGGGGAGAAGGGCCTTGGTCAGGAAGGTGACCAAGAACTCGATTGTGACTCTGACAGAGCAACAGAGTTCTTCTGTGGAGATGGGAGAATCTTCCAGAAGGACAACCATCTCTGCAGTACTCCACCAATCAGGCCTTTATGGTAGAGTGGCCAGAAGGAAGCCACTCTTAGTAAAAGGCACATGACAGCCCGCTTGGAGTTTGCCAAAAGGCACCTAAAGGACTCTGACCATAAGAAACAAGATTCTCTGGTCTGATGAAACCATGATTTAATTGTTTGACCTGAATGCCAATCGTCACGTCTGGAGGAAACCTGGCACCATCCCTACGATGAAGCATGGTGGTGGCAGCATCATGTTGTGGGGATGTTTTTCAGCGTCAAGGACTGGGATACTAGTCAGGATCGAGGGAAAGATGAACGGAGCAAAGTACAGAGAGATCCTTGATGAAAGCCTGCTCCAGAGCGTTCAGGACCTCAGACTGGGGCGACGGTTCACCTTCCAACAGGACAACACGCAGGAGTGGCTTCGGGACAAGTTTCTGAATGTCCTTCAGTGGCCCAGCCAGAGCCCGGACTTGAAAACCAATCGAACATCTCTGTAGAGACCTGAAAATAGCTGTGTAGCGACGCTCCCCGTCCAACCTGACAGAGCTTGAGAGGATCTGCAGAGAGGAATGGGAGAAACTCCCCAAATACAGGTGTGCCAAGCTTGTAGCGTCATAAAGGGTCTGAATACTTATTAAAATTGGATATTGAATTTTTTAAAATTATATATATATTTGCTAAAATGTCTCTGTTTTTCCTTTTGTGGTATTGTGTGTAGATTGAGGGGAGAAAAAAAAACCAATATAATACATTTTAGAATAAGGCGGTAACGTAACAAATTGTGGGAAAAGTCAAGGGTTAGAGAACGTTCCGAATGCACTGTATAACACTGGTTAGAAGACCGCCAGCTACAGTTTGGATTGTTGCATTTGGTTTCAATTTGGTCGCCAATGCCTGTTGGCTGTTATTTAAGTCATAGGTTGACTCTCAAATCAATGGCCAGCATATTTTTAATTTTATTGTGCAGAGCTCCCATAATTGTTCGTTCAATCAATCAATAAATAAAAAGGTTTTAAGGCCTGCGAACTCCAGCACGTATACCAAAACCAAAGATATCTGTTTTAAGCAATCTTTTTTCATGCCATCGTGATGACACCAGTCTGAGGTAAAAGGGTAATTCCCCTAAATTGGATGTGGTCAAACATGAGGTTGTGTAATATAGTAAGACCTACTGTCCCTGTTGGCACAATATAATATGTACAAATAAATCAACATTTCAATTTGGGTTGATAGTGTTACCCACTCACACGTTCTTGCCACGATCACATTTTTCTCACTAGTTTAACCATTTTACAGAGTTTTAAAAATGCGCTTATGCACAATTGAACCGTGTGCTCTAGAAAGCTTCCATAGTGACTGCAGCAGCTCGTTCATTCACCCTGCCTACAGCTATCCGAGACTAGCGGCATGGATGCAGGGGGTTAACGAGCCTTCTGGCGTTGTTTTGTCTACTAGAATCATGCCTCGAACTAGCCGACTAAACTCAACTTCACTATTTACAATGGAGTTGAGCGCTGTCTAGTGTGTGTGTGTGTGTGGACTGGTGCTCCGACGTCACAAAAAAAAATGTAAACGCTGATTTCATTACCCAAAGCCCCGTGGAACTATGTTTTGATAATCCGGCTCTGGTCGGCGCTCCAATCCGAACAAACTATTCGCCGCTCAACTCCATCATAAAGTTTAGTCAGTTCTATCTAGTCAGCCAGTCAACTCCATCATGAAGTTTAGTCAGTTCTATCTAGTCAGCCAGTCAACTCCATCATGAAGTTTAGTCAGTTCTATCTAGTCAGCCAGTCAACTCCATCATGAAGTTTAGTCAGTTCTATCTAGTCAGCCAGTCAACTCCATCATGAAGTTTAGTCAGTTCTATCTAGTCAGCCAGTCAACTCCATCATAAAGTTTAGTCAGTTCTATCTAGTCAGCCAGTCAACTCCATCATGAAGTTTAGTCAGTTCTATCTAGTCAGCCAGTCAACTCCATCATGAAGTTTAGTCAGTTCTATCTAGTCAGCCAGTCAACTCCATCATAAAGTTTAGTCAGTTCTATCTAGTCAGCCAGTCAACTCCATCATGAAGTTTAGTCAGTTCTATCTAGTCAGCCAGTCAACTCCATCATGAAGTTTAGTCAGTTCTATCTAGTCAGCCAGTCAACTCCATCATAAGTTTAGTCAGTTCTATCTAGTCAGCCAGTCAACTCCATCATGAAGTTTAGTCAGTTCTATCTAGTCAGCCAGTCAACTCCATCATAAAGTTTAGTCAGTTCTATCTAGTCAGCCAGTCAACTCCATCATGAAGTTTAGTCAGTTCTATCTAGTCAGCCAGTCAACTCCATCATGAAGTTTAGTCAGTTCTATCTAGTCAGCCAGTCAACTCCATCATAAAGTTTAGTCAGTTCTATCTAGTCAGCCAGTCAACTCCATCATGAAGTTTAGTCAGTTCTATCTAGTCAGCCAGTCAACTCCATCATGAAGTTTAGTCAGTTCTATCTAGTCAGCCAGTCAACTCCATCATAAAGTTTAGTCAGTTCTATCTAGTCAGCCAGTCAACTCCATCATAAAGTTTAGTCAGTTCTATCTAGTCAGCCAGTCAACTCCATCATAAAGTTTAGTCAGTTCTATCTAGTCAGCCAGTCAACTCCATCATAAAGTTTAGTCAGTTCTATCTAGTCAGCCAGTCAACTCCATCATGAAGTTTAGTCAGTTCTATCTAGTCAGCCAGTCAACTCCATCATGAAGTTTAGTCAGTTCTATCTAGTCAGCCAGTCAACTCCATCATGAAGTTTAGTCAGTTCTATCTAGTCAGCCAGTCAACTCCATCATGAAGTTTAGTCAGTTCTATCTAGTCAGCCAGTCAACTCCATCATGAAGTTTAGTCAGTTCTATCTAGTCAGCCAGTCAACTCCATCATGAAGTTTTAGTCAGTTCTATCTAGTCAGCCAGTCAACTCCATCATGAAGTTTAGTCAGTTCTATCTAGTCAGCCAGTCAACTCCATCATGAAGTTTAGTCAGTTCTATCTAGTCAGCCAGTCAACTCCATCATAAAGTTTAGTCAGTTCTATCTAGTCAGCCAGTCAACTCCATCATAAAGTTTAGTCAGTTCTATCTAGTCAGCCAGTCAACTCCATCATAAGTTTAGTCAGTTCTATCTAGTCAGCCAGTCAACTCCATCATAAGTTTAGTCAGTTCTATCTAGTCAGCCAGTCAACTCCATCATAAAGTTTAGTCAGTTCTATCTAGTCAGCCAGTCAACTCCATCATGAAGTTTAGTCAGTTCTATCTAGTCAGCCAGTCAACTCATCATAAAGTTTAGTCAGTTTCTATCTAGTCAGCCAGTCAACTCCATCATAAAGTTTAGTCAGTTCTACTAGTCAGCCAGTCAACTCCATCATAAAGTTTAGTCAGTTCTATCTAGTCGCCAGTCAACTCCATCATGAATAAGTTTAGTCAGTTCATCTAGTCATGCCAGTCAAACTCCATTCATAATTTAGTCAGTTCTTCTATCTAGTCAGCCAGGTCAAACTTCCATCATTAAAGTTTAGTCAGTTCTATCTAGTCAGCCAGTCAACTCCATCATAAAGTTTAGTCAGTGCTATCTAGTCAGCCAGTCAACTCCATCATAAAGTTTAGTCAGTTCTATCTACAGCCAGTTGCTCTGTTAAATTGTGCTAGCTACGTCCCTAATGGCATCTTATTCCCTACATAGTGCACTTGTTTTGACCAGAGCCCTAAGGGCCTTGATCAAAGGTAGCTTCCCCTAAATGGACTCTGCACTCTGTTAGTTGAAATCTACTATGTCTAACTGTGGTTGTACCTATCTCTGTCCTCCAGAGGGAGAGCTCAACGTACTGGACGATATCCTCACCGAGGCCCCTGATCAGGACGATGAGCTCTACAACCCGGAGAGTGAACACCACGTCAACCAGAAAAAAGGTACCTATAACCGCGCAGTAATTAAAAGATGAAAAGCCTATATTAGCTAGCCTGAGTGCCCAGTCATTGGCAGTCCAGTCTTTGTCATCCCTGTTTGCGATGTACACTGAATAAAAATATAACTGCAACACCTGTCAGGTGGCTGGAATTTTTTTTTGGCAATGGGGAAATGCTCACTAACAGGGATGTAAACTAATTTGTGGCAACAATTTGAGAGAAGTAAGCTTTTTGTGCGTATGGAACATTTCTGGGATCTTTTATGTCAGCTCATGAAACAGGGGACTAATGCTTTACATGTTGTTAAATTTTTTGTTCAGTATAGTTTGCAAGAACATAAACTCACCCTGAATAAGGGTGCATGTTAAAAAAAACAAGTTTATTTTTATATATATATATTTTTTATCGAATTCAATATCTAAGCCCCAAACAGAACAGGAGCACAGATCACAAAGGATATTTTTGCATTGTAATTTCAGAAAATGTCCATATCTGGCGCTAATAGTGGAAAGATGGTGTTTCACAGTATTAACTTACCCACCAGTGTTGTGATTGGCTGTGATATTGGCCTATTGGTTTCTCCTGCCGGAGCGGCGTCTGGTGTCAAACTGAGAAAGCTATTCTGACTTGCTCATTGTACCATCTAAATCGTTGTGAAATATATTTTCAGTTGCTTTTGTCCACCAGCTTCAATCAGCTGTAAAAATGCGATTTTTAGATGGTACAGTTATTCCCTACAGTATTCAGCGCTTGTTTCTCACAAACTGAAATTGAGCGAACAGTGTAGAATTTGATCAACCGGGTAATGAGCAATTTCCACTAGATAACACAGCCACAAAGTCAGAACAGATGCTGCTCCAGCGGGAGGAGTCAAAGGGAGACTGACAGACGGTCCATCAACAAGCCAGAGGGGTTTAGGAACATGGGACACACTTTCAAAATGTAATATTGAAGATTTAATATGACCTTTCCTCCTCCAGGGTCTAAGAGGAAGAACGACCGAGGGGATAACCACGAGCTGAAGCGTCTGCGGCCCTCGGTTCACACCACCACCAGACAGGCCACCAAGAGATCTGCCCCCTCGGCTGGGGCCAGCGGGAAGAAGCTGGTCAACCCCAGGGGAGGACGGCACCCCTCCGAATACAAGACTGAAGATTACTACGAGGACAGGAAGACCCATTCCATGAGAGCTGGTGGGGCGCAGAGGGGGGACCCTCTCAAAGCAGCCCAGCCTGACAAGCCCCTGGGCCGCAGGAGAGAGCCAGACAGACAGAGGATCAAGCCCCTCATGCCAGAGCTCACCACAGAGGTAGGAGCAGCTTTACTAAGTGAAGTTACTATTTTGTTTCTCAGCAGGGAATACATGTTTACTTGATAGGACACCAACCTGTTTTTTGCCACAATAAACTAAATTGAAGGAGTAGACGACTCGTTTCTGACTAGATCACCTCCCGAGTGGCGCAGTGGTCCAAGGCACTGCATCGCAGTGCTAGCTGTGCCACTAGAGATCCTGGTTGGAATCCAGGCTCTGTCGTAGCCGGCCGCGACCGGGAGACCCATGGGGCGGCGCACAAATGGCCCAGCGTCGTCTAGGGTAGGGGAGGGAATGGCCCAGCGTCCTCCAGGGTAGGGGAGGGAAAGGCCCAGCGTCCTCCAGGGTAGGGGAGGGAATGGCCCAGCGTCCTCCAGGGTAGGGGAGGGAAAGGCCCAGCGTCCTCCAGGGTAGGGGAGGGAAAGGCCCAGCGTCCTCCAGGGTAGGGGAGGGAATGGCCCAGCGTCCTCCAGGGTAGGGGAGGGAATGGCCCACCGTCCTCCAGGGTAGGGGAGGGAATGGCCCAGCGTCCTCCAGGGTAGGGGAGGGAAAGGCCCAGCGTCGTCCAGGGTAGGGGAGGGAATGGCCCAGCGTCCTCCAGGGTAGGGGAGGGAATGGCCCACCGTCCTCCAGGGTAGGGGAGGGAATGGCCCAGCGTCCTCCAGGGTAGGGGAGGGAAAGGCCCAGCGTCGTCCAGGGTAGGGGAGGGAATGGCTCAGCGTCCTCCAGGGTAGGGGAGGGAAAGGCCCAGCGTCGTCCAGGGTAGGGGAGGGAATGGCCCAGCGTCCTCCAGGGTAGGGGAGGGAATGGCCCAGCGTCCTCCAGGGTAGGGGAGGGAATGGCCCCAGCGTCCTCCAGGGTAGGGGAGGGAATGGCCCAGCGTCCTCCAGGGTAGGGGAGGGAAAGGCCCAGCGTCGTCCAGGGTAGGGGAGGGAATGGCCCAGCGTCCTCCAGGGTAGGGGAGGGAATGGCCCAGCGTCCTCCAGGGTAGGGGAGGGAAAGGCCCAGCGTCCTCCAGGGTAGGGGAGGGAATGGCCCAGCGTCCTCCAGGGTAGGGGAGGGAATGGCCCAGCGTCCTCCAGGGTAGGGGAGGGAATGGCCCGGCGTCCTCCAGGGTAGGGGAGGGAATGGCCCGGCGTCCTCCAGGGTAGGGGAGGGAATGGCCCGGCGTCCTCCAGGGTAGGGGAGGGAATGGCCCAGCGTCCTCCAGGGTAGGGGAGGGAATGGCCGGCAGGGATGGAGCCCAGTTGGTAGAGGGCCAGTATGAAAAATACAAAAAAATAATGTATGCACTCACTAACTGTAAGTCGCTCTGGATAAGAGCGTCTGCTAAATGACTAAAATGTTATTACTAATCTACCGCCTTCCCTGACAGTCCCACCCACAGTGTTTGATTGACAGGTCTGAAACCCTACCAGCTCTGTGACCTTAAACATCCTGCCCCCTTCCCTGACAATCCCACCCACAGTGTTTGATTGACAGGCCAAACTGTTAAAGGGATAGTTCATCCAAATGACAAAATGACACACCCCCAAGTGTCCACAGCAGCAGAGCCAATCAAATACATCAGTTGAAGAACAAACACAAATTGTGGCAATTCATATGGAACTGTAAATATAACTTTAATCTCAAGAGAAGGCCGGTTTAATGTTAAAGGTTATCTTTCTTAGTGATCATATAGGCCTAGTCGATATCCAAAACAACTAACTCACTGAATTCATACATTTTCTGTAATTTTAATTGTAAAGTCATGTCTTTCTACTTAATACCACAACTAATTTTGCCGATCCGGGAGGTGAAATGGTGAAAGTAATCATTTAGGTGTGTGGGAACTCCCTGGCTTGCTACTTTTTCTATTTGGCTGACTTACGGACAACACACTGCTATAGGACACTGGTTTTGACCAGAACCCTATGGTCCACTTTTCACCAAAGCCTTATGGCCTTTGCCAAAAGTAGTGCGCTACATCGGGAATAGGGTGCCAAAAGTAGTGCACTACATAGGGAATAGGGTGCCATTTACAGAACCTCATGCCTTTCTGTTCTGTCTTGTCTAGAAGCTGATGCGTCCCAGTGAGGAGAGTGTTGGCAGGGTCAGCGCCTCCTCCAAGGAAGAGGAAGAGGAGGAGGAAGAGGAGGCGTCGGACCAGGAGACAGGCAGCACGGCCGAGTCCTCCGATGGAGACAGATCCAACATGGAGGGAGAAGAGGGGATGGAGGAGGAAGAGGAGGAGGGAGAGAAGGGCCCAGAGGAAGACGAGGAAGACGAGGAGGAGGAGGAGGAGTATGAGCAGGAGGAAGGGGATCAGAGAGCCGTGAATGAACCGCATGGCTACGACACTCGCAGCGAAGCCAGCGACTCCCAGTCTGACTCCGTGTCCTTCTCTGAGGGGGAGTCGGTTCGCTCTGGCTCCGGGTCTGACGCCTCAGGTAAACGAACACCTGCTCAACACCATTTCTTTTCACTATCCCAGTTGCATCCCATTCCCCGACATCTGTTCACTTCCCTTCCTGGATTAAGAAGGAAATTACTGGTATAATGAAATGGGGGAAACGCCCTCTCTAGCCTACACCAATCCAATGTTTATACATACTGTGGGGAGAACAAGTATTTGATACACTGCCGATTTTGCAGGTTTTCCTACTTACAAAGCATGTAGAGGTCTGTAATTTTTATCATAGGTACACTTCAACTGTGAGAGACAGAATCTGAAACAAAAATCCAGAAAATCACATTTGATTTTTAAGTAATTAATTTGCATTTTTTAATTTGCAACCTTCAAATGGGGGAAACGCGCTCTCTAGCCTACACCAATCCAATGTTTATACATATGTGGGAAGCAGTGAATGAATGAGTGCACACTTCTGGAGCAAGGAGAGATTATTGGGAAGCAGCTCAGAACTAGTGTGAGATTCTATAGACTCCGCCCCCTTCCTAATTCACTGTTAGTAATACCAGCAGCAGGATACCAGTTCAAACACACTTCACATGTTCCGTCCGATTTGTACTGATAATATGTTGTTAAAATGTTCACCATGGGCTGCAGCCTGGATGTGAAAATAAGAAGCACGTTGAGAGAACTGAAGTGAGCTTGAAATGCGTCCCAAATTTACTTTATGATTATTTTAATAATTTTTACCCCCTTTTCTCCCCAATTTCGTGATTACGATCTTGTCTCATCACTGCAACTCCCCCGACGTGCTCGGGAGAGGCGAAGGTCGAGTCGTGCGTCCTCCGAAACATGACCCGCCAAGCTGCACTTCTTAACACCCGCCTGCTTAACCAGGAAGCCAGCCGCACCAATGTGTCGGAGGAAACACCGTTCAACTGACGACCGAAGTCAGCCTGCAGGCGCCCGGCCCGCCACAAGGAGTCGCAAGAGCGCGATGAGCCAAGTAAAGTCCCCCCCCCCAGGCCAAACCCTCCCCTAACCCGGTCGACGCTGGGCCAATCGTGCGTCGCCCTATGGGACTCCCAGTCACGGCCGGTAACCCCGGCCTGTAGTGACGCTGCTACCCTGCGATGCAGTGCCTTAGACGCTGCGCCTCTCGGGAGGCGCCTGTATTTATTTATTTATTTATGTAACCTTTATTTTGACGGAGACCAAGGTCTCTTTCACAGATGACCCTGTATCAAACAATATACATCAATATAAACACATCATTATATTCACATCAATATAAACACATCAATATAAACACATCAATATAAACACATCATTATAAACACATCAATATAAACACATCATTATAAACACATCATTATAAACACATCAATATTCACATCAATATAAACACATCATTATAAACACATCAATATTCACATCAATATAAACACATCATTATAAACACATCATTATAAACACATCAATATAAACACATCATTATAAACACATCAATATTCACATCAATATAAACACATCAATATAAACACATCAATATAAACACATCAATATAAACACATCATTATAAACACATCAATATAAACACATCATTATAAACACATCAATATAAACACATCATTATAAACACATCATTATAAACACATCAATACACTAAAAGCAAAACACAATCATAGAAAACAAACCCATTCCTCAGTAAAAACGGTCCTCAATCAGCCTTTTGAATAGTCAGAGGCACCAATTTAGAGAGCCTTGGAGATTATTCCACAAGTAAGGTGCAAAAAAATCTAAAAGCAGATTATCGTTGGAGATCGAAGGGATCTCTCAGCCCGGGTACGTCTGTAAGTTAACAATGGAGTAAGGTACAGCGGAAGTTTATGCAGGAGGGCTTTATAAACATCGATCTAGGAGATTTCAAAGAGGGCCAGGCTACTTTCTGATACAGAAAGCTATGATGTGTACTAAGCCTGTTGCCTGTAATAAAGCGTAGTGTTATAAGCTGTGTCCAGTGGCTTCAATACAGTGGCAGCTGTATTCATATAGACGATATCCCCATTATCTATAACCGGTATGAATGTCAACTGAATGATTTGTTTTCTGTTATTTAATGAAAGGAATGGCCTATTCCTATAAAGGAAGCCCATTTTAATTCTTAACTAACTCATCAACATGCTTTCTGAAACATAGCTCTCGTTAATCCAGATGCCTAGATACACTACATGACCAAAGGTACTGACTGGCGCTCTGCGCTCTCTATCAGTTAGTTATTTGACTGTTGTAGCTGACCGGTATACTGTTGAGTACATAGACACACAGGCTTTATTCAAGGTCAGTGGAAGGTCATTAGTAAACACAGAAAACGATGATGGCCAGCTGCTCTGCAGTACATCACACTTAACTGAATTTGCATTAAGACGCTTCCATTTAACGAAACCCATCTAATAGAACACAAGTTTTTTTTTCAGCAATAGGTTATGATCAATGATATCAAAAGCTGCACTGAAGTCGAACAAAACGGCTCCCACAGTCTTCTTACTATCAATTTCTTTCAATCATCAGTCATTTGTGTCAGTGCCGAGCATGTTGAGTGCCCTTCTCCATAAGCATGCTGCAAGTCTGTTACTTAGTTTTCTGTAAAATAACTTTATTTGGTCAAACACAATTTGTTTTCCCAAAGTTTGCTAAGCACTGGTAACGGGCAGTTTGAACCATTTTTAAAGGGTGCTCTGCTATTCTTGGGCAGCAGACTGACCTTTGCCTCCCTCCAGGCCTGATGGCACACTCTGTCCCTTAACCTTGTCAACAGAAAAGTGATTAAAGTGGTTGGCAATATCGAAGGGTTTTGTTATGAACAAGCCATCTGCCTCAGTGAAGGATGGAATTTCATTTGGGAAAAAAACTCCAGAACATTTTACTACCTCTCTTTACCTTTCATCTTTGTTCCGTAGAGCAGCTTATTTTGTTTAGTTACGTGATTTCTCGATTTACTGGATGTTTGCCGGTGTGTTGTCAGACTTATTTGCTATTCCCATTGCCTCATCCCTCTCAGCCATAGTTTTTCAATTCATCATCTATCCACGGAGATTTGACAGTTCTAACAGTCAGTTTCTTAATGGGCGCATGCCCATCAGTAACCGGAAGAAGCAGTTTTAATAAATGCTTCAAGTGCAGCTTCAGGTTGTTCCTAATTACACACATCACACCAACACATATTCTTCACATCTTCGACATAGTAATCATTGCAAAACCTCTTGTATGACCTCTTATACACTATTTTAGGCCCAGCCTTTGGATCTCTGGTTTTCCTAGATATGGCTACTACATTATGATCACTACATCCGATGGATACTGCGTTAGAGCAGATCTCTGCAGCATTAGTAAAGATGTGATCAATACATGTGGATTTCAATCCTGTGCTGTTTGTAAATACCCTGGTAGGTTGACTAACAACCTGAACCAGGTTGCAGGCACTGGTTACAGTTTGAAGCTTATTTTTGACGGGACAGCTTGATGACAACCAGTGTTGGGTATTTTTTTTCAGTGGACCATACAGAGCCATGGTACTGAGTGGTACACAAGGTCAGACCATAGGTTAAACATAGTCAATCTGTCTAGACTATGAAGATTAAAACCTAGTCCTACTGCTTGTCTTTATAATTTCACTAAGTGGATACGGAGTGGAACACTTTACATTTACGTCATTTAGCAGACGCTCTTATCCAGAGCGACTTACAAATTGGTGCATTCAACTTATGATAGCCAGTGGGACAACCACTTTATTTATTTTTTATGAGGGGAAGAAGGATTACTTTTATACTATTCCAGGTATTCCTTAAAGAGGTAGGGTTTCAAGTGTCTCCGGAAGGTGGTCAGTGACTCCGCTGTCCTGGCGTCGTGAGGGAGCTTGTTCCACCATTGGGGTGCCAGAGCAGCGAATAGCTTTGACTGGGCTGAGCGGGTACTGTGCTTCCGTAGAGGTAGGGGAGATAGCAGGCCAGAGGTGGATGAACGTAGTGCCCTCGTTTGGGTGTAGGGTCTGATCAGAGCCTGAAGGTAAGGAGGTGCCGTTCCCCTCACAGCTCTGTAGGCAAGCCCATGGTCTTGTAGTAGATGCGAGCCTCAACTGGAAGCCAGTGGAGTGTGCGGAGGAGCGGGGTGACATGAAGAACTTGGGAAGGTTGAACACCAACGGGCTTGCAGCGTTCTGGATAAGTTGTAGGGTTTAATGGCACAGGCAGGGAGCCAGCCACAGGAGTTGCATTAATCGGGACAAGTGCCTGGATTAGGACCTGTGCCGCTTTCTGTGTAAGGTAGGGTCGTACTCTGCGAATGTTGTAGAGCATGAACCTGCAGGTTCGGGTCACCGCTTTGATGTTAGCGGAGAACGACAGGGTTTTGTCCAGGGTCACGCCAAGGTTCTTTGCACTCTGGGAGGAGGACACAAGGGAGATGTCAACCGTGATGGCGAAATCATGGAGCAGGCAGTCCTTCCCCGGGAGGAAGAGCAGCTCCGTCATGCCGAGGTTCAGCTTGAGGTGGTGATCCGACATCCACGCTGATATGTCTGCCAGACATGCAGAGATGCGATTCGCCACCTGGTTATCAGAAGGGGGAAAGGAGAAAGTTAATTGTGTGTCGTCTGCGTAGCAATGATAGGAGAGACCATGTGAGGGTATGACAGAGCCAAGTGACTTGGTGTATAGAGAGAATAGGAGAGGGCCTAGAACTGAGCCCTGGGGGACACCAGTGGTGAGAGCACGTGGTGCGGAGACAGATTCTCGCCCAACATTTTAAAAATCCCCTCATCAATTTACACACAATACCCCATAATGACAAAGTGAAAACAGGTTGTTGGTAATGTATAGCCACCCCTCACCTTATTAGTCTGTACCGCCTGAAGATGTTGTAATCAGCGATGTCCTTATCCGGGATCGAGTCAGAAGATGTTGTAATCAGCGATGTCCTTATCCGGGATCGAGTCAGAAGATGTTGTAATCAGCGATGTCCTTATCCGGGATCGAGTCAGAAGATGTTGTAATCAGCGATGTCCTTATCCGGGATCGAGTCAGAAGATGTTGTAATCAGCGATGTCCTTATCCGGGATTGAGTCATTTACCAAAGTCTCTCTGAGAACCAACATATCCGCGCTCGTGTCATGCTCCCAGATATCAAGGGGGTCCATCTTTGACATCAACCTTCGTACGTTGATATGTAACAGCCCAAGCCCTCTATGTGATTTCAAAACAGCCTCCATATTTATGGCATCATTACTAATCTGTTTCTGCTAACTACAAAACTACAGGGTTGGTTAAGAGCGACGTCTGTAGGGGTATCCATATTGACAGCGGGGGTATCCATATTGACAGCGGGGGTATCCATATTGACAGCGGGGGTATCCATATTGAGAGCGGGGGTATCCATATTGAGAGCGGGGGTATCCATATTGACAGCGGGGGTATCCATATTGACAGCGGGGGTATCCATATTGACAGCGGGGGTATCCATATTGACAGCGGGGGTATCCATATTTATTGTATTTTATATAATAGCACAGGACCAGCTGACCACAGTGGGCTTCCCAACTGTAACCACAGGACCAGCTGACCACAGTGGGCTTCCCAACAGTAGCCACAGGACCAGCTGACCACAGTGGGCTTCCCAACAGTAGCCACAGGACCAGCTGACCACAGTGGGCTTCCCAGCAGTAGCCACAGGACCAGCTGACCACAGTGGGCTTCCCAACAGTAGCCACAGGACCAGCTGACCACAGTGGGCTTCCCAACAGTAGCCACAGGACCAGCTGACCACAGTGGGCTTCCCAACAGTAGCCACAGGACCAGCTGACCACAGTGGGCTTCCCAACAGTAGCCACAGGACCAGCTGACCACAGTGGGCTTCCCAACAGTAGCCACAGGACCAGCTGACCACAGTGGGCTTCCCAACAGTAGCCACAGGACCAGCTGACCACAGTGGGCTTCCCAACAGTAGCCACAGGACCAGCTGACCACAGTGGGCTTCCCAACAGTAGCCACAGGACCAGCTGACCACAGTGGGCTTCCCAACAGGACCAGCTGACCACAGTGGGCTTCCCAACAGTAGCCACAGGACCAGCTGACCACAGTGGGCTTCCCAACAGTAGCCACAGGACCAGCTGACCACAGTGGGCTTCCCCCAGTTGGGCTGACCGTACAATGATAACGCTGTGAAATGGTTGGATGGGAATAATGACCCAAGCAGGGGTTGGGCTGTTGAGTCCGTTTTAGAAGAGCCTCCTTGATGTTGGCCAAAAACCTTTGCCCCTTTCATAGCCATCCCTCTTGTAAAACTGAGGCCTCTCCCAAAAGTGGTCAAAATTGTCAATGAACTCCAAATCCGTTGAGGAACAGTAGGATTTAAGCCAGTTGTGCACCAGAGGAGAGGACTAAAGTGATATGGTTGGTAGAGGCCTGGAAATGAGAACCCGCTTGTCTGTCTCCTTTAGCCTGCCTGTGAGAAGTCTGAAGTCAGCTTTTTTAATTGCTCAGATTTATGCAACTTGATGTCGTTTGTACCAACATGAATGACTACTGTGTGAGCATTCGGGTGCTTCTCCATCACAACAGGAACCAAATGGCACCCTATTCCCTATATAGTGCGTTACTTTAAACCGAGCACTGTAGGCTGTCCCACCTGGCGCTGCAGCGCTGGGGGCTGTGAAGAGCTGAGTGAAAGATTCATTTTTAGAAGCCTGACTCGAGTCGTGTTACCACGGTAACAACCCGCCCTTAAAGGGGCAGGTGAACATTTTTGTCTAATCTGTGATATTTTGGTTAAAAGACTCGGGTCACAAAAAAATGAAATGAAGCAATATACCACATTACTTCTTACTAGTAATACATTTGTTTTAGAAACATTACAATGCATGTTAATCAGTTTTTTTGTGTAGGTGGAATTTGAGTGGCAAAACAAATATTTTGGCTGGTAAAATATCGGAGTGGCTGGTAGATTTCATTTTAGGCCCTGAAAACTACAGTGCTGAAATCCCAGGGAGACTTCTACTTTAGCCTGTTTTTAAATGATTTACAGAAAAGGAGCTAAATGCTTAATTTTTTTTGCTTTCATCAGGCCAATCAAATTCCCGTGTTCTCGAACAGGTATTCTGTCAGCAGATTGCGTTCTGACTGATGTAGCTACTTTTCTCCGGTAAAATGCGAGATTAACTTCAAGCAAAACGTTAAGAAATGTAGCTGGCTATGATAAACATTAGAAATATGATGGCCAGGCATACATTTTGCATACATTTGCGATTCTGAAGAATCGGTGTATCAATATTATTTCCCCCTGGGTTTTTGCAGCCATGGCAATGTGCTGCTGTAAATTGTTAGATTTGATGTAATTTTGAAGTTTAACACGTTTTTGTTAATTCTTCTTCTCCAGGTTCTGAGAAGAAGCGTGAGAAGCTGTCTTCCTCTGTTCGCGCCGTCCGTAAGGACCAGACCAGCAAGCTGAAGTACGTCCTACGAGACGCACGCTTCTTCCTGATCAAGAGCAACAACCATGAGAACGTCTCCCTGGCCAAGGCTAAGGTGCACTACTCTCTTAACTCAGTCTCTCAATCTCTACCCAGTACAGCCAATAGAGGACTGGCCACCCCTCAGAGCCTGGTTCCTCTGGTCTAGCCAGTACAGCCAATAGAGGACTGGCCACCCCTCAGAGCCTGGTTCCTCTCTACCCAGTACAGCCAATAGAGGACTGGCCACCCCTCAGAGCCTGGTTCCTCTGGTCTAGCCAGTACAGCCAATAGAGGACTGGCCACCCCTCAGAGCCTGGTTCCTCTCTACCCAGGACAGCCAATAGAGGACTGGCCACCCCTCAGAGCCTGGTTCCTCTGGTCTAGCCAGTACAGCCAATAGAGGACTGGCCACCCCTCAGAGCCTGGTTCCTCTGGTCTACCCAGTACAGCCAATAGAGGACTGGCCACCCCTCAGAGCCTGGTTCCTCTGGTCTACCCAGTACAGCCAATAGAGGACTGGCCACCCCTAGCTCCTGAGAGCCTAGCTCCTGAGTGGCGCAGTGGTCTAAGGCACTGCATCGCAGTGCTAACTGCATCGCAGTGCTAACTGTGCTACTAGAGATCCTGGTTCGAATCCAGGCTCTGTCGCAGCCGGCCGCGACCGGGAGACTCATGGGCGGCGCACAATTGGCCCAGCGTCGTCCAGGGTAGGGGAGGGAATGGCCGGCAGGGATGTAGCTCAGTTGATAGAGCATGGCGTTTGCAACGCCAGGGTTGTGGGTTCGTTTCCCATGGGGGGCCAGTATAAAAAAAAAAAAAATGTATTCACTAACTGTAAGTCGCTCTGGATAAGAGCGTCTGCTAAATGACTAAAATGTAAATGTAAATGTCTACCCAGTACAGCCAATAGAGGACTGGCCACCCCTCAGAGCCTGGTTCCTCTGGTCTAGCCAGTACAGCCAATAGAGGACTGGCCACCCCTCAGAGCCTGGTTCCTCTCTACCCAGTACAGCCAGTAGAGGACTGGCCACCCCTCAGAGCCTGGTTCCTCTGGTCTACCCAGTACAGCCAATAGAGGACTGGCCACCCCTCAGAGCCTGGTTCCTCTGGTCTAGCCAGTACAGCCAATAGAGGACTGGCCACCGCTCAGAGCCTGGTTCCTCTGGTCTACCCAGTACAGCCAGGAGAGGACTGGCCACCCCTCAGAGCCTGGTTCCTCTGGTCTACCCAGTACAGCCAGGAGAGGACTGGCCACCCCTCAGAGCCTGGTTCCTCTGGTCTACCCAGTACAGCCAGGAGAGGACTGGCCACCCCTCAGAGCCTGGTTCCTCTGGTCTACCCAGTACAGCCAATAGAGGACTGGCCACCCCTCAGAGCCTGGTTCCTCTGGTCTACCCAGTACAGCCAATAGAGGACTGGCCACCCCTCAGAGCCTGGTTCCTCTGGTCTACCCAGTACAGCCAATAGAGGACTGGCCACCCCTCAGAGCCTGGTTCCTCTGGTCTACCCAGTACAGCCAATAGAGGACTGGCCACCCCTCAGAGCCTGGTTCCTCTGGTCTAGCCAGTACAGCCAATAGAGGACTGGCCACCGCTCAGAGCCTGGTTCCTCTGGTCTAGCCAGTACAGCCAATAGAGGACTGGCCACCCCTCAGAGCCTGGTTCCTCTGGTCTACCCAGTACAGCCAATAGAGGACTGGCCACCCCTCAGAGCCTGGTTCCTCTGGTCTACCCAGTACAGCCAATAGAGGACTGGCCACCCCTCAGAGCCTGGTTCCTCTGGTCTACCCAGTACAGCCAATAGAGGACTGGCCACCCCTCAGAGCCTGGTTCCTCTGGTCTAGCCAGTACAGCCAATAGAGGACTGGCCACCCCTCAGAGCCTGGTTCCTCTGGTCTACCCAGTACAGCCAATAGAGGACTGGCCACCCCTCAGAGCCTGGTTCCTCTGGTCTACCCAGTACAGCCAATAGAGGACTAGCCACCCCTCAGAGCCTGGTTCCTCTCTAGGTTTCTTCCTTCTGAGGAGTTTGTCCTAGCCACTGTGCTTTGGCCTCTGCTTTGCCTGCTGTTTGGGTCTAGGCTGTTAAGCATGTTGTGATAACTGCTGATGTAAAAAGGGCTTTGTAAAATATTTGATTTAGAATGTACAAAACACAAAAATTACTGCAAATAATATGTCTGTTACATGTACTTTTTTTTTCTGTATGAAAATGTTGACCGACGCTGAATACAAGCAAACAGTGTGATGTTGTTGTTGGTTGTTATTTGCAGGGGGTGTGGTCCACTCTGCCCGTTAATGAGAAGAAGCTGAACGCTGCCTTCCGTTCCGCTCGCAGCGTCGTCCTGGTCTTCTCCGTCAGGGAGAGCGGAAAGTTCCAAGGTAAACAGGTTGCATCTCAAATGGCACCCTATTCCCTATATAGTGCACTACTTTAGACCAGAGAATGGCACCCTATTCCCTACATAGTGCACTACTTTAGACCAGAGAATGGCACCCTATTCCCTATATAGTGCACTACTTTAGACCAGAGAATGGCACCCTATTCCCTATATAGTGCACTACTTTAGACCAGAGAATGGCACCCTATTCCCTATATAGTGCACTACTTTTCACCAGGGGACTCGTTTGTCAAAGGGGAGTAGGCACAAATAAGAGTTTAAACCTTGTGTGCGCCAGTTTTCCCGCAAAGGTTGGGTATTTATCCATTCTGAAAGTGTGCGTATCTCCACACGAATCTCAGATCAAGCGAACGCACAACTTGTTGTTGTTGATCAGTTGTATTGCAACCAAATATTATTAATATTGTTATTTTGAGGGAAATGGAGGTGTTGAATGCACAGTAATTATAATAATGGTAGGCTAATCAGTATATAACGTAGGCCTAATGATAATGATATTTAGCACGGTTGACGAGGCCCCAGAGCTCTATTGCATTTCCTAACTAATCAATAACCTTTACTAATCAAGCAAGTACACGGGAGGCGCGAAACCCTGAAGACACTGGGTCCTCCAGGAATTGACACCCCTACCTTAGACAGCATCTTGATTTTCTATCTTGTCCTGATCACATCCCTGATGTTGTCATCCGGTGGGCAGGTCAACGTGTTGTCATCCGGTGGGCAGGTCAACGTGTTATCGTCCGGTGGGCAGGTCGTCGTGTTATCGTCCGGTGGGCAGGTCAACGCGTTATCATCCGGTGGGCAGGTCGTCGTGTTATCATCCGGTGGGCAGGTCAACGCGTTATCATCCGGTGGGCAGGTCGTCGTGTTATCATCCGGTGGGCAGGTCGTCGTGTTATCGTCCGGTGGGCAGGTCAACGTGTTATCGTCCGGTGGGCAGGTCAACGTGTTATCGTCCGGTGGGCAGGTCAACGTGTTATCGTCCGGTGGGCAGGTCAACGTGTTATCGTCCGGTGGGCAGGGCAACGTGTTATCGTCCGGTGGGCAGGGCAACGTGTTATCGTCCGGTGGGCAGGTCAACGTGTTATCGTCCGGTGGGCAGGTCAACGTGTTATCGTCCGGTGGGCAGGTCAACGTGTTATCATCCGGTGGGCAGGGCAACGTGTTATCGTCCGGTGGGCAGGGCAACGTGTTATCGTCCGGTGGGCAGGTCAACGTGTTATCATCCAGTGGGCAGGTCAACGTGTTATCATCCGGTGGGCAAGGCAACGTGTTATCGTCCGGTGGGCAGGTCAACGTGTTATCATCCGGTGGGCAGGGCAACGCGTTATCATCCGGTGGGCAGGTCAACGCGTTATCATCCGGTGGGCAGGTCAACGCGTTATCATCCGGTGGGCAGGTCAACGTGTTATCATCCGGTGGGCAGGGCAACGTGTTATCATCCGGTGGGCAGGGCAACGTGTTATCATCCGGTGGGCAGGTCGTCGCGTTATCATCCGGTGGGCAGGTCAACGTGTTATCATCCGGTGGGCAGGTCAACGTGTTATCATCCGGTGGGTAGGTCGTCGTGTTATCATCCGGTGGGTAGGTCGTCGTGTTATCATCCGGTGGGCAGGTCAACGTGTTATCATCCGGTGGGTAGGTCGTCGTGTTATCGTCCGGTGGGCAGGGCAACGTGTTATCGTCCGGTGGGCAGGTCAACGTGTTATCATCCGGTGGGCAGGTCAACGTGTTATCATCCGGTGGGCAGGTCAACGTGTTATCGTCCGGTGGGCAGGTCAACGTGTTATCGTCCGGTGGGCAGGTCAACGTGTTATCATCCGGTGGGCAGGGCAACGTGTTATCATCCGGTGGGCAGGTCAACGTGTTATCATCCGGTGGGCAGGTCAACGTGTTATCATCCGGTGGGCAGGTCAACGTGTTATCGTCCGGTGGGCAGGTCGTCGTGTTATCATCCGGTGGGCAGGTCGTCGTGTTATCATCCGGTGGGCAGGTCGTCGTGTTATCATCCGGTGGGCAGGTCAACGTGTTATCATCCGGTGGGCAGGGCAACGTGTTATCATCCGGTGGGCAGGGCAACGTGTTATCGTCCGGTGGGCAGGGCAACGTGTTATCGTCCGGTGGGCAGGGCAACGTGTTATCATCCGGTGGGCAGGGCAACGTGTTATCATCCGGTGGGCAGGGCAACGTGTTATCATCCGGTGGGCAGGGCAACGTGTTATCATCCGGTGGGCAGGTCAACGTGGTATCATCCAGTGGGCAGGTTTTAAAGTGTAGTGAACTGAATATGGTCTGTCCTACTGTGTGTGCAGGTTTTGCCAGGCTGTCGTCTGAGTCCCATCATGGAGGGTCTCCCATCCACTGGGTCCTGCCTGCTGGGATGAACGCCAAGATGCTGGGTGGGGTGTTCAAGATCCACTGGATCTGCAGGTAAACACACTGGCTCTGGCTTATCCTCAAAGCCATAGATGCGTCCCAAATGGCACCCTATTCCCTATATGGTGCACTACTTTAGACCAGAGAATGGCACCCTATTCCCTATATGGTGCACTACTTTAGACCAGAGAATGGCACCCTATTCCCTATATAGGGCACTACTTTAGACCAGAGAATGGCACCCTATTCCCTATATGGTGCACTACTTTAGACCAGAGAATGGCACCCTATTCCCTATATGGTGCACTACTTTAGACCAGAGAATGGCACCCTATTCCCTATATGGTGCACTACTTTAGACCAGAGAATGGCACCCTATTCCCTATATAGGGCACTACTTTAGACCAGAGAATGGCACCCTATTCCCTATATGGTGCACTACTTTAGACCAGAGAATGGCACCCTATTCCCTATATAGGGCACTACTTCAGACCAGAGAATGGCACCCTATTCCCTATATGGTGCACTACTTTAGACCAGAGAATGGCACCCTATTCCCTATATGGTGCACTACTTTAGACCAGAGAATGGCACCCTATTCCCTATATGGTGCACTACTTTAGACCAGAGAATGGCACCCTATTCCCTATATAGGGCACTACTTTAGACCAGAGAATGGCACCCTATTCCCTATATGGTGCACTACTTTAGACCAGAGAATGGCACCCTATTCCCTATATGGTGCACTACTTTAGACCAGAGAATGGCACCCTATTCCCTATATGGTGCACTCCTTTTGACCCAGGCCCATAGGGTTTTGGAATATAAATATGATGCATTTTCAGCCAATTCAGTGTTTTGTCATCTCAGATCTGTTGTAAGACTTATGCATCCATGATCCTGTGTAAATTAATGATCTAAATCACTTGTTTTCAGACGGGAGTTGCCATTCACTAAAACAGCTCACCTCTCCAACCCATGGAATGAACACAAGCCTGTAAAGATCGGCCGGGATGGACAGGTAAAGCTATCCATGTCTTTTGGTTCTGTGTGGCTCACTTTCTAGAGCTTGTAACTACAGCATTGTGGGTTTGATTCCCGCTGGGGTAACTCATACGAAAATGTATGCAAGCATGATTTTAAGTTGCTTTGGATAAAAGCATCTGCTAAATGGCATATACAGTGCCTTCGGAAAGTATTCAGACCCCTTGACTTTTTCCACAATTTGTTACGTTACAGCGTTTTTCAAAGAATTGATTAAATATTGTTTCCCCTCATCAATCTACACACAATACAAAGTAAAAACAGGTTCTGGGAAAAAACAAAGAAAGAAACGGAAGTATTCAGACCCTTCACTCAGTACTTTGTTGAAGCACCTTTGGCAACAATTACAGCCTCAAGTCTTCTTGGGTGTGACGCTACAAGCTTGGCACACCTGTATTTGGGGAGTTTCTCCCATTCTTCTCTGCAGATCCTCTCAAGCTCTGTCAGGTTGGATGGGGAGCGTTGCTACACAGCTATTTTCAGGTCCAGAGATGTTAGATCGGGTTCAAGTCCAGGCTCTGGCTGGGCCACTCAAGGACATTCAGAGACTTGTCCCGAAGCCACTCCTGTGTTGTCTTGGCTGTGTGCTTAGGGTTGTTGTCCTGTTGGAAGGTGAACCTTTGCCCCAGTCTGAGGTCCTGAGCAGTCTGGAGCAGGTTTTCATCAAGGATCTCTCTGTACTTTGCTCTGTTCCTTTGCCTCGATCCTGACTAGTCTCCCAGTCCCTGCCGCTGAAAAACATCCCCACAGCATGATGCTGCCACCACCATGCTTCACCGTAGGGATGGTGCCAGGTTTCCTCCAGACGTGACGCTTGGTATTCAGGCCAAAGAGTTCAATCTTGGTTTCATCTGACCAGAGAATCTTGTTTCTCATGGTCTGAGAGTCTTTAGGTGCCTCTTGGCAAACTCCAAGCGGGCTGTCATGTGCCTTTTACTGAGGAGTGGCTTCCGTCTGGCCACTTTACCATAAAGGCCTGATTGGTGGAGTGCTGCAGAGATGGTTGTCCTTCTGGAAGGTTCTCCCATCTCCACAGAGGAACTCTTGATCTCTGTCAGAGTGACCATCAGGTTCTTGGTCACCTCCCTGACCAAGGCTCTTCTCCCCCGATTGCTCAGTTTGGCCGGGCGGCCAGCTCTAGGAAGAGTCTTGGTGGTTCCAAACTTCTTCCATTCAAGAATGGAGGCCACTGTGTTCTTGGGGACCTTTCCAAATCATGGCCAATCAATTGAATGTACCACAGGTGGACTCCAATCAAGTTGTAGAAACATCTCAAGGATGATCAATGGAAACAGGATGCACCTGAGCTCAATTTCGAGTCTCATAGCAAAGGGTCTGAATACTTTCTAAACCTTTTTTTTTGTTGTCATTATGGGGTGTGTGTGTGTGTGTGTGTGTGTGTGTGGATTGAAGAAAAACATGTTTTAAATCAATTTTAGAGTAAGGCTGTAACGTAACAATGTGGAAAAAGGGAAGGGGTCTGAATACTTTCAGAACGCACTGTATTATATATATTTTCAAGCTACTAATTCTAATTTAGTTTTATCTACTAATCTGTCCCCCCCTCTCTCCTCCTCCTCCTCCTCGGGACCATCAGGAGATCGAGACCGAGTGTGGGATGCAGCTATGCATGCTGTTCCCCCAGGACGAGAGCATTGACTTGTATCAAGTTATTCATAAAATGCGACACAAGAGGAGGATGCCTTCGGAGCCGCGTTCTCGAGGACGCCCGCCGCACAGAGAGCCCGCCCGAGGCGACCTGGGAAGGTTAGAAATGTTCTTTGGACTGCTAGTGCGCTCTTGTGTCGGCGTGACGTGATGCCGGAGCATTGTTCTGATCCGATGGTCTAACCGTCCCTCCCAGAATGCTCTGCTCTCATCACATCCCAGCGAAGAGGGAAACCTGCTGAAATCCTCTGGGCTGTTGCTAAGGACCCCATACAGCAGTTCCACTGAGGAGGATAGATATCTATGGGCCGGGCCAGTGCTAACCACAGTATCTATGGGCCGGGCCAGTGCTAACCACAGTATCTATGGGCCGGGCCAGTGCTAACCACAGTATCTATGGGCCGGGCCAGTGCTAACCACAGTATCTATGGGCCGGGCCAGTGCTAACCACAGTGCTAGTAGGCTGAGTGTGGCTTGTCTCTCTCTGCAGGTGATGGTGGTTAATTCAATGTAAAGAAACGGGTTGAGTTTGATCTCTCAAAATAAGGAATGCAATTTAATTTGAACCATCATGATTCTTAAAACCACCAAAGTTGTAGTTGAGTTTAATACGCAATACATTCTTTAGGTTGCTTGAATGAATTTGTCTAGATAAGTTGTTTTTTTTAAAAATTTGTTCCCAAAGCCTTTTCTTTCAGAAGTATCCTGGGGGAGTTAAACCTAGTCATATATGGCTTAGAAAAAGGAACCATTCTATTTAAACAGAAGATGGCACATCGATTTGAGGGGGAGAAAGATGATGCTGTCTTAAATGCTTCCAGAGGACTTTTCTCTCCCTCCATGGGTCATCTATTGAATATACATAACGTATACATGTGATGTCTACACTACTCGTGTATATGCCTGTAGCGTCCGAGGGGGGTGGGGGGGGGGGTGTCCGTCTATCTGCAAAGCTGCTGGAAAGGGGGTAAAAAGCGTTGGAAAGCGGTAGGCCAGTTGGGAAAAGAATCGTTGGCCTTTGGGAGACCTGGCAACAACCTTGAGAGAGGGGGCTTGGCTCTGCTGTGTGATCAGTGGTTTTCTCTACCTCCTGTTGTAATGCTCCATTACACCAGCAATCCAAATCCCCTACATCCCCTCCGCAAGAAATCATATGCCCGCGAAAACATTTTGGCTAACGGTTGGTCGGTCACTGCCCCCCCCCCACAACCCAACAGGACTGAAGATGTTGTGGTTCTGAGAGAGAGCCAGCCAGCCGTTCCTTGTTACCGTTTCTTCATCCGGAATGAATGTCATCTGGTGGTAGGTGGTTAGGGAAACCTAAAGGACTAGGTTAGGAGTGTTTCCTAAAGGACAGGAGTGTTTCCATATCCTAACCTAAAGGACTAGGTTAGGAGTGTTTCCTAAAGGACAGGAGTGTTTCTATATCCTAACCTAAAGGACTAGGTTAGGAGTGTTTCCTAAAGGACAGGAGTGTTTCCATATCCTAACCTAAAGGACTAGGTTAGGAGTGTTTCCTAAAGGACAGGAGTGTTTCTATATCCTAACCTAAAGGACTAGGTTAGGAGTGTTTCCTAAAGGACAGGAGTGTTTCCATATCCTAACCTAAAGGACTAGGTTAGGAGTGTTTCCTAAAGGACAGGAGTGTTTCCATATCCTAACCTAAAGGACTAGGTTAGGAGTGTTTCCTAAAGGACAGGAGTGTTTCCTATATCCTAACCTAAAGGACTAGGTTAGGAGTGTTTCCTAAAGGACAGGAGTGTTTCTATATCCTAACCTAAAGGACTAGGTTAGGAGTGTTTCCTAAAGGACAGGAGTGTTTCCATATCCTAACCTAAAGGACTGAGAATAAGGTAGGAGGAGACCCACTCGTTTCCTTTTGAAGGCCTTTAATGGACTGAGAATGACACCACAAGGAAGGGAAGTTCTAAGCCAAAGGGGGTCGGTCACCTTTTGGTTTATAAAATGGCCGAAGTGAAGCTCATCCTCTGGTCTTTTCGTTTTGATTGCAATGGACTGCATCAATCACCCCTATCAATCTCCCCCTTTGCCCTCCCAGCCCGGCCCCCTCCTTGTAATGTCTTTGTGGCTGTAGACCCTAAACCATAAGATGGACTGTCTATATGAACTTTTGCTATCTTAATATATGTCAACGGTAACAGTCACAAAACTACAAGAAAGCGGTATGTTACCATTTTAACCGGCTCTTTCTCATTTACCTGTAGACAGTCATTAACCCAGCTGTACAAAAAAAAACTATCTGGTTGATTTTAATTGAACATGGAAGGTGTCTTGTGGAGTAATGATCGTCCAGGCAGTGCTTACATTTGTTATTGATGGCTAGTCAGAAGCAGAAACATTTATAGGTAGAATTGAGTAGGTAACTGTCTAGCTCCTTATTGGAGAAATATGGGGCAACTCCCACAGACAGATGCCCCTAATCTAAGAAGGATGCACTTCAACAGATACAGTACTGGAAACATCTGGTTTTAGCTGCAGAATGGGCTGGACTATCATGGAACCAACCTGAACAAAAGCTAACTTGTGAATTAACTGTTTTTAATGTAACTGTCCACAAGCAGTAAGATGTCATTCAGAATATAAGGGTTGATGAAGCAGTAAGATGTCATTCAGAATATAATGGTTGATTGATAACTGTCTATACATGTTTAGTGTTTTAAGCAGTATTTGGGAATACTGTCAAGATTCAATGAAATGCATCCAGAATTTTGGGCATAAATTAAGTTTTGACCCTTTGATGGAGGTGAATGTAATCAGAATGACAGAATGGTGATATGTCTTAAATCACTTTTGTTTCTCAATCTGTCAATAGGTGATTTTACTAGTTCATTTAAATGTTTATATATATATATGCTTTTCAGATGTTTCAGAGTATGTGTGTTTATGATATAGGCCTACTAGGATGTTGCTGTATCGTGGCACTTTGTCTCAATTGTTTACCTAATTCATGTAGGCGTCGGCCCGAGGAATATGACATTCACAACAGGAAACGCCCGAGGATTGACTATCCAGCAGAGTTCCCACAGAGACCAGGTTACTATTACTAACATATGTATTGGTACAGCATGGAAATAATGGTGTGTCCAAATGGGACTCTATTACCTAAATAGTGCACTACTTTTGACCAGGGTCCACAAGGCTCTGGTCAAAAGCAGTGATATATATGGGTGGTCCTCTGTAGCTCTAGTGGGTTCGATCCCCGGGACCACCCATACGTAAAGATGTATGCGCACATGACTGTAAGTCGCTTTGGATAAAAGCGTCTGCTAAATGGCATTATTATTATTATTATTATTATTATTATTATTATTATATATGGAACAGGGTACCATTTGGGCACACAACTTGTAATTGTATTGGTACCAGTCAATGTCAGTTATATAGATGGACCAACAGGAACGTCAGCCGTGTGCAGTAGATCACCTTCTGGGTGCCGACGAACGGCTGTGATAAAACATGAAGAATAATCTGGAAATTAACAGAAAATGACGTCCCGTTGTGTTCAGAGGTGAAGAGCACGACCACCCGCTGTGCATGGCCGGCATTCGTGTTGGTCTTGTCTCTTTATTGGTACGGTATCTGAATGATACAATGTGCTTAATGAAAACTGCTTTAGTTTGAAAAGTAAAGCTCATTGGATCCATTTCTTCAACATATGAACAGAGTTGAAGACAGATCCAGATGCCCGTTGATTAGCCTAGCTGATATATTGCCGTTACAACGATCAGTTTGCTATAGTGGCAGGAGTTTAGATTTTAATGTCCTATTTCATCGATCAGCTCTGTGTAATATTTTCTACTTTGGTTGTTATGAATCAAGAGTAGGGATTGTCACACCAAGTAATACAGTTGAAGTCTGAAGTTTACATACACATTAGCCAAGTACATTTAAACTCAAATTTTCATAATTCCTGACATTTAATCCTAGTAAAAATTCCCTGTCTTAGGTCAGTTAGGATCACCGCTTTATTTTAAGAATGTGAAATGTCAGAATAATAGTAGAGAATTTTTTTATTTTATTTTACCTTTATTTAACTAGGCAAGTCAGTTAAGAACAAATTCTTATTTACAATGACGGCCTACACCGGCCAAACCCGGACGACGCTGGGCCAATTGTGCGCCGCCCTATGGGACTCCCAATCACGGCCGGTTGTGATACAGCCTGGAATCGAACCAGGGGGTCTGTAGTGACGCCTCAAGCACTGAGATGCAGTGCCTTAGACCACTGCGCCACTCGGGAGCCCAATGATTTATTTCAGCTTTTATTTATTTCATCACATTCCCAGTGGGTCAGAAGTTTACAAACACTCAATTAGTATTTGGTAGCATTGCCTTTAAATTGTTTAACTTGGGTCAAACGTTTCGGGTAGCCTTCCACAAGCTTCCCACAATAAGTTGGGTGAATTTTGGCCCATTCCTCCTGACAGAGCTGGTGTAACTGAGTCAGGTTTGAAGGCCTCCTTGCTCGCATACGCTTTTACAGTTCTGCCCACAAATTTTCAATAGGATTGAGGTCAGGGCTTTGTGATGGCCACTCCAATACCTTGACTTTGTTGTCCTTAAGCCATTTTGCCACAACTTTGGAAGTATGCTTGGGGTCATTGTCCATTTGGAAGACCATTTGTGATCAAGCTTTAACTTCCTGACTGATGTCTTGAGATGTTGCTTCAATATATCCACATCATTTTCCTTCCTCATGATGCCATCTATTTTGTGAAGTGCACCAATCCCTCCTGCAGCAAAGCACCCCCACAGCATGATGCTGCCACCCCCGTGCTTCACAGTTGGGATGGTGTTCTTCGGCTTGCAAGCAACCCCCTTTTTCCTCCAAACATAACGATGGTCATTATGGCCAAACAGTTCTATTTTTGGTTCATCAGACCAGAGGACATTTCTCCAAAAAGTATGATCTTTGTCCCCATGTGCAGTTGCAAACCGTAGTCTGGCTTTTTTATGGCGGTTTTGGAGCGGTGGCTTCTTCCTTGCTGAGCGGCCATTCAGTTTATGTCAATATAGGACTTGTTTTACTGTGGATATTGATACTTTTGTACCTGTTTCCTTCAGCATCTTCACAAGGTCCTTTGCTGTTGTTCTGGGATTGTTTTGCACTTTTCGCACCAAAGTACGTTAATCTCTAGGAGACAGAACGCGTCTCCTTCCTGAGCGGTATGACGGCTGCGTGGTCCCATGGTGTTTATACTTGCGTACTATTGTTTGTACAGATGAACGTGGTACCTTCAGGTGTTTGGAAATTGCTCCCATGAACCAGACTTGTGGAGGTCTACAATTTTTTTTCTGATGTCTTGGCTGATTTCTTTTGATTTTCCCATGATGTCAAGCTAAGAGGCACAGAGTTTGAAGGTAGGCCTTGAAATACATCCACAGGTACACCTCCAAATGACTCAAATTATATCAATTAGCCTATCAGAAGCTTCTAAAGCCATAACATCATTTTCTGGAATTTTCCAAGCTGTTTAAAGGCACAGTCAACTTAGTGTATGTAAACTTCTGACCCACTGGAATTGTGATACAGTGAATTTATAAGTGAAATAATCTGTCGGTAAACAATTGTTGGAAAAATTACTTGTGTCATGCACAAAGTAGATGTCCTAACCGACTTGCCAAAACTTTAGTTTAACAAGAAATTTGTGGAGTGGTTGAAAAACCAGTTTGAATAACTCCAACCTAAGTGTATGTAAACTTCCGACTTCAACTGTATATAATGTATTCTTTAAGTGGGTGCTCATAGGTGAAGTACTGATTCACATTCTTATTGACAACTGATATGTGTTACAATATTAGACAAAACATTTTGAAAGGTCAACTTGTGTGTCTTTGTAAACAGAGAGATGTTCCATAGGGGACATGAAAGAACATAACTCACCAGTCGGAGTAAATCAGCTTTCTCTCTTTATACAGGCTTTATGCCAGTTCAACGTAACCCACCAGTTGACCGGTAAGTACCTGACATCACTCACCGTGGACCCCAAATGGAAACCCTAGTGTAGATTGGAGAGGATTAGGTAGGTACAGTGGGGGGGGGAAAAAGTATTTAGTCAGCCACCAATTGTGCAAGTTCTCCCACTTAAAAAGATGAGAGAGGCCTGTAATTTTCATCATAGGTACACGTCAACTATGACAAAATGAGATTTTTTTTCTCCAGAAAATCACATTGTAGGATTTTTTATGAATTTATTTGCAAATTATGGTGGAAAATAAGTATTTGGTCAATAACAAAAGTTTCTCAATATTTTGTTATATACCCTTTTGTTGGCAATGACACAGGTCAAACATTTTCTGTAAGTCTTCACAAGGTTTTCACACACTTGCTGGTATTTTGGCCCATTCCTCCATGCAGATCTCCTTTAGAGCAGTGATGTTTTGGGGCTGTCGCTGGGCAACACGGACTTTCAACTCCCTCCAAAGATTTTCTATGGGGTTGAGATCTGGAGACTGGCTAGGCCACTCCAGGACCTTGAAATGCTTCTTACGAAGCCACTCCTTCGTTGCCCGGGCGGTGTGTTTGGGATCATTGTCATGCTGAAAGACCCAGCCACGTTTCATCTTCAATGCCCTTGCTGATGGAAGGAGGTTTTCACTCAAAATCTCACGATACAAGGCCCCATTCATTCTTTCCTTTACACGGATCAGTCGTCCTGGTCCCTTTGCAGAAAAACAGCCCCAAAGCATGATGTTTCCACCCCCATGCTTCACAGTAGGTATGGTGTTCTTTGGATGCAACTCAGCATTCTTTGTCCTCCTAACACGACGAGTTGAGTTTTTACCAAAAAGTTCTATTTTGGTTTCATCTGACCATATGACATTCTCCCAATCCTCCTCTGGATCATCCAAATGCACTCTAGCAAACTTCAGACGGGCCTGGACATGTACTGGCTTAAGCAGGGGGACACGTCTGGCACTGCAGGATTTGAGTCCCTGGCGGCGTAGTGTGTTACTGATGGCTGGCTTTGTTACTTTGGTCCCAGCTCTCTGCAGGTCATTCACTAGGTCCCCCCGTGTGGTTCTGGGATTTTTGCTCACCGTTCTTGTGATCATTTTGACCCCACGGGGTGAGATCTTGCGTGGAGCCCCAGATCACGGGAGATTATCAGTGGTCTTGTATGTCTTCCATTTCCTAATAATTGCTCCCACAGTTGATTTCTTCAAACCAAGCTGCTTACCTATTACAGATTCAGTCTTCCCAGCCTGGTGCTTTTTCTGGTGTCCTTTGACAGCTCTTTGGTCTTGGCCATAGTGGAGTTTGGAGTGTGACTGTTTGAGATTGTGGACAGGTGTCTTTTATACTGATAACAAGTTCAAACAGGTGCCATTAATACAGGTAACGAGTGGAGGACAGAGGAGCCTCTTAAAGAAGTTGTTACAGGTCTGTGAGAGCCAGAAATCTTGCTTGTTTGTAGGTGACCAAATACTTATTTTCCACCATAATATGCAAATAAATTCATTAAAAATCCTACAATGTGATTTTCTGGATTTTTTTCCCCTCATTTTGTCTGTCATAGTTGACGTGTACCTATGATGAAAATTACAGGCCTCTCTCATCTTTTTAAGTGGGAGAACATGCACAATTGGTGGCTGACTAAATACTTTTTTCCCCCCACTGTATAACCGATACAGTAAACCTCCACCTTAAGGGTGTACTATGATTGAAGCTTGATCTACTCAGGGTTTTCTAAAGCTAGCCAGCTTCAGTTAGCTTCCCATTGATCTACTCAGGGTTTTCTAAAGCTAGCCAGCTTCAGTTAGCTAAACATTCCAGCTCAGGTTTCATCTGTACTATGATGGTGGATATTGTTTGTCCACCTGCCGATAACTAGCAGGCTTGTAACTGCGTGTCGAACGCCAAACTCTTCATTGAGACAATGCTGAAACATCAATCCATGGGCAAGCATATTCGCTACACCCGCAATAACATCTGCTAAACGTGTATGTGACCAATAAAATGTGATTTGATTTGAAGTCAGGTGACACATTTTCAAAATGAAAAGTTATCTTGCAAATTCAGCAGGCAATGGTGATAAAGATGCTTTTAGAAGTGACGTCTTGATCCTATCACTTAGCATTAATGCCGTCTCTGGTGTGG